TTTTCTTTAATTTTTTTTAAATTTATTTTTTAAAAAATATTTTGTAAATAATTTTTTAAAAATTATATTTAATTTAATTTTTACTTTTAAGAGGTTAATAAATTGAAAAAAAAGTAAGACTAAACATATTCCAAGAGTTTAGAGCTTTTTCCTTTTTAAGTGGTAGAATTGGAAAGCTCAAAAAGGGCAACCCCTTTTTGCTAGTAATGAAAAAGGTTTTGAGTTTGAGCACATTAGGGAATGATATATCCTATCCAAAAGAGTTGAATTGGAGTGAAATTTTACTCTTAAAAACACAATCTCGAACTCGAAGGCCCAAGCCCTTTTTCCTCCCCAACTTGCAGAGAGATGAAATGTTACAATCACAAATCTCAGTCTCAAGCCTTCTTCATGGCACTTTTCCTTTTTTTCCTTATGAGAGTCACTATGACCTTAACTGAGACGTAGGGGTGAAGATCTGAGTTGGGGGTGTGACATTTAATTTGACGTCAGTAGTTTTGATTAAGACACATGATATTGCAGTTGAAATTAAGAAAATAGGAGGGCATAAAAAGTCGGCTTCAATTCATGAGGAGGAGGAGGAGGTCGATTTATATCCTTTCAATATCTGGAAAGAAATGTACGGGCCAACAGGAGGAGGCTAACGAGTTAACATCATTTCATATTTTGGAGATGACGACCGTTAAACCGACGGGGCCCTTCCTCCTCTCTCTCCTCTCAATCCCTTGAACTCTAAGCTGCTTATGGGCCACTTTTACTTCGCCGCTTCTCATGCTCAGCTTCAACAAATATTTCATAATGCAGCAAAACATTTTTACTCGTTCTCTTCCTCTTTTCCATTTCTGAGATAAATCTGCTTTTTTAGGTGCATCAGATAGATTCAATGTCAGAAACCAAGAAAGCACTACTGATTTCCCTTGAACCCTCTTACATGTATATTAAGTTACATAATAAACATTGAAAAAACTTTAGACCACGTTCAGATTCAAATAATTAGCTAGTTGTAATGGAGTTTGTAACATATAGCACCCCATTCACTGTTTCAATGAGACGTGTAAACGGAAGATTGGAAATGGCATGCAACCCACGTAAGGCTTAAAGAGTGTCACATGAAACTTTAAAAGAGTTGTGTTAGTGAATTGTACGACGTGCACAAATCTTGTTGAAAGTGTTAGGTGATGAATTGAAGGCGTAAGAACCAACCGAAGTTAGGAACGGAGATGAACAAATCTAATTCAAACTTTCAGTGTTGTTAATTCTCTAGTAAATGAATGGAGCTAAGCAGAGCTAGAGTATCCAAAGTGAGAAGGAAGGGCCCATGTTAATGCAATCATGAGAGAGAGAGAGAGAGAGAGAGAGAGAGAGAAGGGTCTAAACCAAATGGGGACATAAAAATTAAAACTTAAGATGAAAATCCGCACTGACGATCATGCAATGCAGTGGCCAGAATTGCAGTAGCGGAAAAGTTAAAAACGGGAGTTAGGAGACATGTTTAAAACTGGATTGATCTATAAGCAAAGTTTCTTCTCTCAATACGTACAAACTTTATGTGCAATGGCCACCAATTCCAAAGGGACACGTGAAAACCAGTTGATCATCTCGGTTAGAGACTAGGACCCTCCCAAAATTAAGGCTTTCTCTCACGACAATTATAAGTTGGAACTCAAGATAGAGATGTAGCTTGCATTTGCATAGTTTCAATTTCATTATCAACACGTCCATTGGTTTATTTGACATGGGATTTCCCTGTTGATATCAGTTCTAGAAATGAAAGTTTGTCATTTCATCATTTAAGTGTTTTAGTTGAAAGGAAATAATCAGTAGGAAGCATATAATGAAAGGAAGTACTTACTTAAATCAGTAGGGAAGCAAAATAATGAAGGTAAGTGCTTTCTTAAATCACTAGCGTATTAAAACTTTGAGTAATTTGCTTTACATTATCTTGCTGCTGACTTTGATATTGGCGTGAAAATATATTAGTAATAATCATGTTGAAACAGCGAAGAACACCTTTGGTCCAAAAGCACATATCATGGCGTGACAGCGCAGCAGGTCCTACGAATAGAGGCGGTGCAGATGCTCCAACATAACAACCAAATCTGGATGATTTCTCCCCCATAACTAAACTTATATTTAACTTAGCGTACAAATTACATTTGCCAGTTCGTCATAAAAAGATCCAGCTCACACAGATGGTGGCCCGCTCCCCAACTAATCATTATTCTGCTGCACATAACGATCAAAACTATCATGCTCCTTTCTTAATTCATCCAAATAATCCACCACATGCTTTTGTGAAAATTTGTAGCCTACCCAATACGGCACAGTCTTTCCATCCAACCAATTGTTTACAGCAGTAAAATTTTTTGTTGATAATGACCTTAATGTGAATAAACACAACTTCCTCAAAAAAAGTTTCTATAAGGAGACACACTGTTTAAATTAATATAAAAAAATTTAAACTAAAAACTATTGCATGATTGGAAGTTGATAACGATGGAATTATGGAACTACCAAATTAAAACGAAAATATTACAATTTGATGGACAAAGCTTTGACAAAATGTTCATCTACAGAAAAGCCACTTGTTTTTTAACAAAGGTCAGAGTAACTAACGAATCATTTATAATCATCAAAAACACATAATAACCAAAGCCCCACATCGCCACTTGTGTGTGCTATTCACATTTTACCTTACCAAACGGGGAAATTTCTAACTAGTACAAGTAAAAGTTAAAGAAAAAAGAAATTTTCTTTTTTTTTT